TTAAAAATTTGGACAGTGGACTAGGCTCCAAGCACACAAACAGATCTAATGCAGTCGAAAGATAAACATCCCCCCACACTTAAGCTCGACATTGCCCTCAATGGATAAGAGGGAAGGATAAGGGAACGATGTTACCGGTATGCATGGACTGCAGGAGACTGGAAACGGGCCAGTCGGGGCAAGCACAGCCAAAAAGGGGAACAGAAGAGCTCAAACACAGTATGTTAGGTTCAATGGTCAGCCCACTAAAATATCATCCAAACCAAAAGAAAACAAACCAAACCCAAACCGGGTTACAATCCGACGCAAAACACAAGAAAGAAAATCAAACCGAGGTGGGGTTGCCTCCCCACAAGCGCTTCTTTACCGTCGTATTAGCTGGACGCCCATGGTGGATACTCAGGGCGGTGCAGGAACAGGTGCCTCCAAGAGCGGATCCACATCGCTCTTGAGGTACAGCTTCAGGTTGTGGCCATGCACCCGACGGATGCGACCACCATCATCAGTCAGCTCGACCTGCCCATCTGGCAAGATGCAGGTGAGCGAGTACCCGGACGGCCAGGGTGGTCGTGGTGCAGGAGGTGGGACCAGCTCATAGTGGTCTCCACTCTTCTTCCGTGCAGGCTTAGCAACCTGCTGCTTCGGCCGCCACTCCTCCTTGAGCTTTTTGTTCGGAGGTGAGGCTGGATGGAGTGGCGGCGAAGGAATAATAGGAGGGTCCTGCAAAATAGGAGGTGCAGAAGGATACACGACAGGCTCGTGTACCTGATCAGACATAGCATGCACAGGCGTGACATCAATCATAGCACAGTGATCAAACTCAGTCACAGAAAAAGTAGCCTGTTCATTCCCAGCACGCAAGATCAACTTACCATCATGCACATCAATTAGTGCCTTGGCGGTGGCAAGAAATGGCCTACCTAGAATCAAAGGCACATCCACATCCTCATGCACATCAAGAATAATAAAATCAACAGGATATGTGAATGTACCTACTTTAACAAGCAGATCCTCAATGATACCCTTAGGATGCACGATAGAACGATCAGCTAATTGAATGCTCATCCTAGTAGGGCTAAGTTCACCTAGGTCTAGAATTTTATACAACTTATATGGCATGACGTTAATGCTAGCGCCTAGGTCCGCCAAGGACTTTCCTACATGCATACTGCCAATAGTAAGAGGGATAGTAAAACTCCCTGGATCCTTGCGCTTCTCGGGCAGCTTGTTCTGCAGGATAGCAGAACACTCCTCACTGAGTATCACTGTCGAGAGATCCCCAAGTTTCTTCTTGTTGGTGCAGATATCTTTCATGAACTTGGCATACTTGGGCATCTTCGACAGTGCCTCCATGAACGGTATGCTGATGTTGAGCTGCTTCAACATTGCCATGAACTTGGCAAACTCAGTCTCCAGCTTGTCCTTGTGTAGGCGAGTGGGGAAGGGAAGCTGGGGTACATGCTCCTTAACCACTAGTTGTGGCTTGGGAGCAGGGGCTTCCTTCTCCACCCACACTTCTGCATCGTCGACTGGAAGTGCTGAAGCAGGTAGTGGTTCCTCCTGTCTGGCCGGGGCAGGATCAGCAGATATCACCTTACCGCTCCTGGTAAAAATGGCATCCAGCTGCTGATGCTGGTGAGGATCTCGAGGATTAGGAACAGTGGTGGCAGGCAGAGTCCCCAGTGCCCTGGTGGTGCTCTGGCGGGCCAAGATGCCCACCTGGGTCTGCAGATCCTGCAAAATGGCACCCTGGTTCCGCTGACCTGCCTCCAGTGATGTGATAGCAGCCTAGGTGCTAGTCATGAAAGAAGCTAGAATGTTTTCCAGCTTCGTCATCCTATCATCTGGAGCCGGAGCTGCTGCTGGCTCGGCAAACTGGCGCTGGGGCTGCTGGAATGGCTGGCCCTGCCTAGGCTGGTAGGCTTGCTGCTGTGGGTCTGTCCCCTGGCGAGCCTGGAAGGGCTGCCTATGCTGAAAGCCACCTGCTGGTGCTGGGAAACCAGGTGGTTTAGTGGTGTTGCTGCTCCAGGCGAAGTTGGGATGCTGGCGCCACCCCTCATTATATGTGCTACTGTATGGATCGAGGCGCCTCGCATTGGCGACGAAGGCCAACTGCTCCTGGGGTGTGGTAGACTCCCTCATAGCCTGGCAGTCTTCTACTAAGTGACTGGAGCTCTCACACCACTGACACTGAGCAACTGGAGGTGTAGCCAAACCTCTGCCCGGAATCAAACTGTTGGGCTGCTTCAATGTCTGCACTAGCTCAGCTACCTGCTGCTCGAGCCCGGATCTGGTCTCCATGGCGTGCACACCACGGTCCCGGGACTGTCTGCCTCTGCTACCCTGTCCCCAAGAATGATCTCTGGCAGCCAAAGTACTGATCATCTGGTTCAGCTCGGGTGGAGTCTTGGTAAGAATATCCCCTCCTGGGCATAAAGACTCAATCACCCTCTGGCTATCTGGGGAGAGAGCGCTGTAGAAGTTCCCCATAGTGAAAGCATCACTAAAGCCATGGTGGGGGCACTGCCAGAAGTAGCCCATGTACCGCTCCCAAGCATCACGAAGTGACTCCTCTGGCTCCTGGCGGAAGTGAGTGATCTCCCGCTGAATCTCTGTAGTCTTCGATGCCGGATAGTACCTGTGCACGAACTTGTCCGCCAGATCGTCCCAAGAGGTGATGGACAATGGGGGCTGGGTCTCCAACCACCTCTTAGCATTTCCCGCCAGAGAATGGGGGAAGAGATGAAGGCGGATCGCATCATCGGGAACACCGTTCAGCTTGAACCCGTTTGTCAGCTGCAGAAAACGGGACAGATGTACCCTGGCCTCCTCATCCTTCAAGCCATGAAACTGGATCGAGGATGTGATGAGCTGAATCCAGCATGGCTTGATCTCGAAATTGTTTGCTGGGATCGGCGGGTAGAGGATGACCGGGCGGATATCAGCAATCCGCGGAGTGTAGTAGTACTCCAAGGTGGGACCCGGCTGCGGTGGATGATGAACTCCATGATCCTGGGGTATGGGGTTGTTCTCCAGGACCTGATTCACCGGGGGAATCTGCTGTGGATTCCCCTGGTGCTGATTGTAGTCTCCGTCCATTCCGTGCTCTTCTTCAGAATCGCTGCTCAGGTGGCCGTCTATGCGCTCTTCCGTAGCCAGTCTAGCTCGCTGTTGTCTCTTGAGCTGGCGACAGGTGCGGTCAATCTCTGGATTCAACGGCAGTAAACCTCCCGACTGGCTACGGGTCATGCACTACCTGCACACACTCAAGCAAGCAAACCCGTGAAGGCACAAGTGGGACAAAGTAAACAAAGCAAAAAGAAAAGCTAAATTAACAGAAATCACTTTTCTTCAACAACCTAGACGTCCCCGGCAACGGCGCCAAAAACTTGACTCGACTCTACTGTCACTCCAGGAATTGGCCAAGTGTAACCACTTCCTAAAGCGTAGTATAGCGGGTTTAGGTTTAATTATCAACCCGGGTCCTAGATTTGCTGACTACTCAGTGATTTCTTGTTATCTAGCAATAAAATTAGAGTGCAAGTCTAAACTACCAAACAAACAAAGCAAGTAAACTGTTGTATTCAGGTTAAAGAGGTCACCCGGATATGGTTCCCCCTAGACTGCAGTTAAGCCGGATTGTAATTACCAAGTTCAGTTTCTATGACAGTTATACTGCGGAAGGTTCTTAAACAGTCTGAAGTCTCGACTAAAGGTCTTCAGACCCTCTCAATCTGACTCTCTAGCGGGCGACTAACCTCCACCGGAGTCGACAGATTGAGGCCCTAAGAACAAAACCTCCACTACCGGAGTAAATCCGGTACAGAATAGTGAGTTGGCTCCTCGACTAAAGTCACCAACTCCCTACCTTCAATCAAGGATACTCTATTAACCTAGGCAGATATTCTCATTCTAGGTTAAAGCAGAAACAACAGGAATTTGATCAGGATTCAAGTCATTCAATCATCAAAACCTCAATCGAATATAATCAATCACAGAATCAGTACTTGGGTTCATACAATCAAAGCCTAACATACAAATCTAGGGTTCTCCATACCCAGATGAATGGGAGAACTACTCCATGGAGAAGAAAGCAAAAGCAGAATCAGACACGGAATTCATACTGCAAAGGATGGATTCCTGCTTCTGGACGTTGATTGGCACTTCTCCAACCTCAAGCTGGCCTCCAATGGTGTTGAAGATCAATCTAGGGCACTTGGGAACTCTTGCTCGTCACTTTCTCTCTCTAGGAACTGATCTCTCTCTCAAAAACTCGAATCCCCCTTCTTTGGTTCGGAATTTGGCTTAAAACCAGGAAATCCCGACTCGCACGGCCAGGGTGCACGGCCGTGCATATCACCATTCTGGCCGTGCACCTCAAAACGCGGCGTATCAATTAGTTGAACCTCAGCCAACTCGCACGGCCAGAATTGTATGTTGCACGGCCGTGCGGATTTCACTTGTGCCCGTGCGTGCCCACGCACAATCCCGCACGGCCAAAATGGTCACTTGCACGGCCGTGCGTGGCCACGCTGGTCTGCCCGTGCAGCTTGCTCCGCCTCTGTTTAATGCTTCGTTTCTCCCTCGTCCGGACTCCGAATCAATCGCCGTTTGATCCCAGACGCTCGTAGTCTCGTCCTCTTTCGTTTCATAACAAGCTTGCATGATTCTTTGTCCATAAAGTGAGGTAGAAATACATTCTTCTTCAGGTCATGCCCGAGTTTCTTCTCTCGAATCGTCAATTGATCTCTGATTGACTTGAAACTTGCGCCTATGCTTCACTTTATGTGCTAGGACCTGAAATGGGACAAAGGAACACAACCTAGCATAAAATAGGCCAAAGACGCAATAATTCAAGCTCAAACAATCAAGAAACAAAGGGGAAAACATGTGCAAATACCGAGTCATCAAATATGGTGAAGGATATGTTCGCAGGCATACAAGATTTCCCGGCCAAACAGATATGGAAGCCGTTTATCCCCGGGAAAGTGTGTTTTTTCATGTGGATTGTCCTCCATAACAGGATCCTCACTATCGACAACTTGATGAAGCGTGGATGGACGATGGTGAACAGGTGCAACCTGTGCTGTCGGGAGAATGAATCTGTGTTTCATCTTTTGGTGGACTGTGACTTTGTGAATGAGGTGTGGAGGCTTATTTGCATAAACAGGCCAGACTTGTGCTCCAAGTAGAGGGACATCACTTCTATTGTTAAATCTATCTCTTTGTCCACGCCAGAGAATATTGATGAATGGTTCTCTGTTTGCATCCTCCACGCTGTGTGGTGGGGCGTTCGGTTAGAAAGGAATCATCGTGTTTTTTATGAGAAAGCATCAACTGCGTTCGTGGTTGCAAAGAAAGCGGCAAGATGCTCGATGGAATGGTTGGTAGCCCATGGAAAAGTGGATAAAACGCTTGGCGAGAACTGGCTAAAAGATGTGTTGCTCGTCGGTTAGTTGGACGCTCGGTGGGTCGTCCCTGTCGGCGGTTGGCATGTGGTTCATGAGGACTCTGTATCTCAGTTCGGGGTGGGTTTCAGTGTTATTGTTGGATCGTCAGAGTTTGCTCCCTTTGGCCGTCTTGATTGGTCTTTTGTTTCGAGAGGAATCTGTTTGTCAGGTGTTGTGAGTGCTTGTTGTTCTTTGTTGTTTGCTCCCTTTGGGATTTTATGTTCCCTTGTTTCTTGTGTCCTGTCATACCCAAAAGAAGTGGTTCGGCCTACTGATTTGGGTTCGTTCGGTTGCTGATATGAGCTTCTCTTTTATGTTTCCTTTTCGCAGCACTCGTTGGACTTTTGGTTGTTTGGTTCAACTCTTGTGAACCACGGCCATTGTTGTACTCTTTTCTTTTTGCTGTTTTATTTTAATTCATATCACCATTATAAAAAAAAAAAGTTTGATTACTACACTCCACTACAAAAAAGACAATCAGTTATGACCAGACATTTGGCGTTGGAAAAGACCTTTTTCGTTGGAAATGACTAGTTATGACGATATACAGTCGTTGGTCATCATGGGAAAAAGTCCCATCGCAAAAAGTGGAAATTCGTTAGGGCGTCAGAAAAAACTTTTTTGTGGCAAATTTTTTTTGTCGCTAATCAAAATATTGTTATCATAAATAAATTATACTTGATGCTCAAAAGATGACGAAGTTTATTTGTGAGGTAGAATTTATTTTATTGACATAGAAATGTCATCAGAAATAAATAATTTTCTTCCTAAAATACCCTTTTACATTTTTTACGACAGTGATTCGTAGAAAAAACTTTGCAAATGGGATCGAATTTTTAATTCCGAAAAATACCCTATGATTATTTCCGATGAGGATGTGTTGTCGGTAAAAACAATTTGTCGGTGATAACATTATATATGATGGAAATCAATTCGGTAAGAATAGGAAATTTTCAATTTCAAAAATACCCTTTAGTCTTTTCTGATGAGGGTGGAGCCACTCGTCATGAATAAAATCAATATTTGGTACAAAATACATTTATGAGTAGCTTATTATTTCATTTTAGTAGATTAATACCGAGATTATTGGTTAATTTATATAAGAGGGAAGATAGTAATACTAGACTTTATTACATAATACACTATCTAATTTTTGTTACATAATACTTTTAATACATTATTCACATGATTGTACAAAGAATAAACTCAAACAAAGCCCATCTTTAAAAAAGCCCACATATACAAACTCTACCAAACGAAGCGCAAATCTACCAAACCATAGCAAAGTCCAACTGCAAATTCTATCAAACCCTCGTCGCCACACCCAGATGATAGTAAATTTCTGCAAGAACTTCAACTTGCGAACCCAAGCTGGAACCTCTGTGTCGGTGGTGACGATAACGGGATCGAGTTTTTCGCCAAGTCATCGTCGATCACCTGGTATCTAAAGAAGGCCATCAAGAACCCAAAAATCAAAGTATATAAAAACAAAATCTTCATTAAGATTTCATAACTAACCAATTTCATAATCAATCACACTCTGTGCGGGGGAAAAAGAAAAGCAAAATCCTTTAAGGCAGAAGGATGGATGCTTACAGTAGTTTGAGAACCCAAATTCTTGGTCCAGGTTTGAAACTGCTAGCAGTGAAAACCCAGAAACGTTCGTCAAACTTGTCGCGGTTTTCATCATAGCACCGCGGCCAGGTGGGATTTCTGGGATCCGACCAGGTTGTCAATCGATGCTCAAAGTTTCCCTCGTTGTCGATTCATGGGCCATAAACCCTGGACAGATCGACGATTCTGAAATTGAAATCCTTCGATCCACCTGTCTATCCTCCTCCCGCAAGAGCGTCTTTGTGGCCGCCAAGCAGGGGTCCATGTACCCCTTTCGTCATTCTTCCGCCGCCCCAGCATCACTCTCACCATCGCTCCGATTTCCATCACACTTCCTTCTTGTCGTCTTCAAATAGTATATCCAGCCTTGATTCAAACAACAAGTCATCGTCGCCGCTCACTGCTATTGCGGCTGAAAGGACGAGAGGGGAGAGTTGAGAAAGAATGAGGCGGCCTGCTACTTTCCGCTTGAGGGTTGAGAAGAGAGGTCGGCTCTTTAGGTTTGGGAAGGGAAAATGGAAAGGATGAAGGGGGACGGCTGCTGCTTGCTGCTAGGGTTTATAACATGAACTTTTATAGGCTAGTCAATTATCACAAGCATCGAATCTTTTAAGTTTTCTTTTGATAGTTCTTAAATGTTTTAAATGTTGCAAAATGGTATAAGAATTGTTGTTTCACTGGTACCTACATTTTAAAAGTTTGCAAAGTGGTCCCATGAAAGTCTACAAAACAAAAAACAAAATGAAGAGAGCCTTAGTGAGTTTCCCTTCATAGAATTTGAGAAATTTTGTTAGGGAAAAAACGAAGGAAAGAATGGAAAATTTATGGGTATAATATTTTATAAGTATGCATCATTGTATTATTTTATTATAAGTAAGAATGTATTATACCTGAACGAATCCAATCAGTAGAACAGAAATCATCCTTGGTGCTATAAAAACAGGGTTGTATGAGCCTATACATCATAGGTCGGGGGAGACCCCCGTGACTCCCAGTCGTCGAGCGAATAATATAATTCACGTAATAGCAACAACTATGAAAGTTGTACATAAACCTTATGGTAAAAGTTCAACTGAGTTTGTACCTATACTTTAATGGTCAAATTGAACTTATACATATACCTTATGGTACAAGTTCAACTAAATTTACCTATACCTTTCTGTACAAATTGAGTTGAACTTATACGTATACCTTATGGTAAAAGTTCAGTTGAACTTGTTCATATACCTTAGTGGTCAAATTGAGCTTGTCCATGTACGCTAATGGTGAAATTGGACTTGCACATATACGTTAATGGTCAAATTGAACTAGTACATGTACCTTATGGTAAAATTTCAATTGAACTTGTACATGTACCTTAATGGTCTAATTGAACTTGAACATATACCTTATGGTACAAGTTCAAAATTGTTTTGTACCTATACTATATTTATTGTACAAATGGTATTTGATTTGGATTTTGAGTCAATAGAGTTATGGATCAATGAAGTTAAAAAAAGTCGCACGTGATTAAGTCAACAATATTTTGGGTTATAGGTGGCATCGGTGAAGTATATTGTCTTTCATGTCGAGGCACAAGTTCAATTCTTGATAAGAGAGAAAGTTTTTCTAATAACAAGAATAAAACGGAAAAAGTGCAAAAGCCGACGCTTTGGGTTAGCCGAATGAACCGATCAGTCCAGTATGGCTATAATAAGATTGAAAAATATGATATCCATTTTTAAACGTTACTAAATAGTAATGGTAGAATTAAAGTTTACAAAAAATAAGTTAGTCTAATTGGTGTGAAATCAATGTTGTAAATTTAAGGTGTCTGGTTCAATCCACCTTGATGTAAGTTTTTTTAGTTTTCCATTACTCAACAATATACTATTTCTGATACATTAGTAAATTAGTAACTAGTAACACAAACATGAAAGTTGACACACAACAACATAGTGCAATTGGAGTGCACTCATCACTGTAAACCCATGGTTAATGGTTCATTCCTCCAAACATGCAAAAAAAAAAATTGTACATTATACACTATTTCCAACCGAATTATGTTTTTCGTCAAAATGATCACCGCTTACTAAAACATTGGTAATCTTCACATGTTATTTCTGACGACCAATGGTTTGGTCATAAGAACTTATATATGATAACATTATCTCCCACGAATATATACTTCTCGTGAAAAATACTATGGTGATTATGACGATTCCGGTGATGCATTGCAACGTACATTTATTACAACCAAATTTTTTGATGACCAGTAATTGATAGTCGAAAAATGTAGAGTTTTTCTGATGGAGCAAGATATTCCTCATAAATAATATAATTCCAATGAAACATATTCTGACAATGGAGATGGTTCGTAAAAAAAAACTCGAGTATTCCCACGAGCTTTTTTGGGGGGTCGAAAAAAGCATATATTAATGATGCCATTTTTTCACTTTGTCAGTAATAATAATTATTTTCAACACTATAGCAGGCTTCGTCATAGATAGGTACTCACAATTCCTCAAATTTGCCTAAATTATTATTTCCAACGGGTTTTCTAATAATTTATGACGCAAACAATTTATTGTCATAAATAATAATTTTTCTTCCAACAAAATGTCCATTTTGTTGAAAATAATACTTATTTCTCACGAATAAACAGTGTCGTCGGTAGGTTTTCGTCACAACTATCTGTCTTTTTTGTAGTGCTCGTAGAGCGTTGGCGACCCGAGACGTCGACCTTCCACTTGCCGTTTGGTGAGGTCACGATCACTTTAGAGTACGTTGTGACACTGAGCTGTCTACCTATCAACAGTGATGTCGTCGTAGTAGACATACCAGATGAGGAGTGGTCGGAGATCTGTGTGAGACTGTTAGGACGGGTTCCTAATGATCTTTCTCGCAGTGTCATTAGGATTGGTTGGCTGAGGGATCAATTCAGTCATCTTCCGGCAAATGCATCACAGGAGACTACAGAGCAGTTTGCACGGGCTTATGCTCTATCTCTGAAGGAGGTGTACTATTCCGGGATCGGTCTGGAGCTATGGTGCAACTACAGTTCCTACTTTTGGTGGAGGATTGGCAGAGAGTTGGATGGTATGACTGGGGAGCAACTATTTTAGCCTACCTGTACCGTGAGTTTGGTAGGTCGGTTTAGCACATTACGCATTTCTCCTCTTCCCTAGGAGGTGACCTTGCTGGATGGGTCCCCTTACTATAGCTCTGGGCGTGGGAGCAATTTCCACATCTTACACCGCGACATACAGAGACGAGGGCGCAGATTGCCGAGGACGCATTCCCATGTGGTGATCGATGGCTTCCGACCGACACTCGTCAGTACGGTGACCAGTTATTCCAGTACTAGTTGTGGTTTGACGAGATGGAGACCATGGTGGTTAGTCTATAACATT